GGTTCTCAGTGTCCACCTTCCGTTTTGCCATTTTTGATGGGTATCTGAAAGCTAATGTCACTGTTATGGGAACGACTGCTAGACGAATAAATATTTAAATAAAGCGGCCGACTGCTTGGCGCGTCACCGTTGCATTGTGGGAAATGTAGTTTTGGTGCGTGTAAAAGATCTGCGGGCTCTCGGCTTGCTGCGGTCCGCGGGCCGGTTCTAATAATAAAAAATCAATATCATCCCAGGGGCCACTGAAAACATTCTCGCGGGCCGGATTTGGCCCGCAGGCCGGCACTTTGACACTTGTGATCTAGTGGATGCATTGTACATTGCGTCTTATAGTGTGGTGCGTTCAATATATGAAAAAAAAAATACAAAATAGGCTATTCTTTGAAGGTGCGCCTCATAATAGAGTGCGCCTTTTAGTGCGGAAAATACGGTATATGAACTGGAATGTAGGACAGAGATGAGCCATTTAATGTTCAAACTTTGCAAGTTGTCATGAACATTTTTATGGCTGCAACACGTTCCAAAAAAGCTGGGGAAAGTAGCAAAAAACACTGAGAAAGTTGAAGAATGCTCATCAAAAACCTGTTTGGAACATTCCCTATAAGAACAGGCTAACTGCGAACAGGTGGATGCGAACAAGAGCTTCCCTGATTTAGTCAGTCATTCCCAAAGCTGGGGTGAAGTTCACTTCTTTGCGAACAACTGTATGAGTTGTTGGGGGAAGAGGGGCCTTTCTCTTCCTCGCGTGTTCGTTGAATTTCAGATGATGAGGATGTTGGTTAACCAAATAAAGGCTGGAGGCGATGAACAGTTCCTTCGAAGGGTTTTAATTTATTTTCTGCAGTTTACGAATCGATTCGGGCTCCTGAGGGGTCCAGATTTGAATCAGGAAGCGTAGAAGAAACACATTCATGAGATTATATAGAGACAATATGCAAGGAGGAAGAAGATAAACCTTAACACCACATACGTTGTTTTAAGTGTGCAAACAAATGTTCAGGAAAGAGACTGAGATCAATAGTACTCATAGCAAAGCGCAGTCCCTCAATAGCTGCAACACAGATACTTGAGATAACAGTTCCTCTTTTGATGTTGACATGTCCTCTGGAGGGGTCGTAAAAGTAGTGGGGGTGAGGGGGTACCAAAGGTGATTGTAATCACAGTAAGCAGGAAATACCTTCAACAGCATTCTACATTGTTTCTTTCAAATCCAGCTAACAGAGAGGAATCATATCTTAACAGAGTTAATAGTCAAACAACTTAAGGACAATGTTCGAATTATATTGTTTTGTATTTTCTTTTTTTTTTTTTTTACATCTGGATCAGATACAGTGGTATCTTGATTCAGAAGCTTAATTTCTGATGTCCTGCCTGCTTTCCATCTCCAACACACCTGATTTAGCAAGCTATGAAGACGCAAGATAATTTGAATCAGGGGTGCTGCAGCATGGAGAGACGGAAAACAGGCAGGACGTCGACCATTGAGCACCGGGTTTGGACAACCTTCACTCTCTCACAATAGTGAAATGCTTATGTTATTATTTACACAACTGAAATGTGCTCATACCCAATACTGAAAGGCTCTCGTGCGCACATCTACGTTTTCTCACACACACACACACACACACACACACACACACACACACACACACACACACACACACACACACAGTTGAAAATGTAAACACTGCAACACGCTTGTACGCAAATCCGACACTTTTTTAACAATAAATGTATTAAACATGTAATATACTAGAAAAAAATTAAAGGATGAAAATAATGCTAGATGGGATAAACATTAAAATTATATACATTCAGTGTACAGTGCATTTATGCGATTCAATATAAGCAGATGCAGTTTCAATTGCTATTTCCATCAATGAATGCCATTTCTCTCCAGACAGTCACTGAGCACAATTTCATTGTATAAGTCTAATAAAACATGCCTTTTGTCAGGAGACAAAAGGTTATTAAACTCTTAAATCTCTTAGTGTGTGTGTCAAAATAAATATATACTGCACATACAGTGCAGTATACCATATTTTCCGCACTATGAGGCACTTTGGAGTATAAGGCGTACCTTCAATGAATGGCCTATTTTAAAACTGTTGTCATATATAGGGTGCACCGTATTATAAGGCGCATAGAGTAGATGCCACAATAGTAACTGGGGTTACGTTATGCATCCACTAAATGGAGCTACCCTAAGGGAATACTGTACTATACCATCCACTTATATTTATATAGAGCTTTTCCAGCCGCTGTTGCTGTAACAAATCACTTTACAGAAGATTTAAAATACTATGGCCAAGAAATCAGAATATTGATCCATATAAGGTGCATTGGATTATAAGGTGCTCTGTCGGTTTTTGAGAAAATTGAATGCTTTTAGGTGCTTCTTATAGTGTGGAAAATACAGTAAATTTGGTGGCCACCTAATTAGGGACACCGGGCACAAAAAAGTTTAAATTGTGGTTCGGAAATGTGGTATTGCCAAGCGATGGCGGTGAAACTCTGTTTTGCCTCTGTGAGTAAACAAAGGCCCATTTGCTCTTAAGCCCAAAGGCCAGTTACTTATTCGGCATCATGAAGCAGAAAACCAGAACGTTTCCAATCGGAGCGCCGTCTCCTTCCTCACCTTTGGTTGAAGGTTGATGCCAGTGTATAGCGTGCCCATTCTCTAACATCACCTGGCTCCTTACAAGCACACGACTTCCGATTGGCTGTTCAAATTGTCATTTCCTCCACGTGAAATGCACCTTTCACATCAAAGTATTCATAATCACTCAATGAGCAAAATCGTTTTTGTCAGACAATAATCAACGAGTATATGACAACTATATGGCTTGTTATTATGTTTATATACGACACAGTTCATCACCAAGTTATGCTGTTGCTTGAGTTCGGCTATTTCATGGCTTTGGGGCAGCCGACAAGTTTTATGTTGAAATATGAATGAAGGAGTTTTTCTGACGTCATATGCATGTGAGAGTGTTTCAGTAACGTGTATGAGTGCATTTCAGTTGTGTTTCTGAGCAGCAAAAATTTCACTAGTTTGTATGACAGCGTTTCTGCAATGTGTGTGAAAGCATTTCAGTCGTGTGAATGAGAGCTATTCCTGAATTATGTCTCGAACGGTCCCTCATACTTCAGACTTCTCTGACAAATTTTGAGTTGGATTCATTCATTCGTGTAGTGCAGTCTCGGTTTACTTATTTTGGCCGCTTGTATCCGATCTTGTTCTTTCGGTCACGACGCACGGTTTCTTTTTTTCCAGACAATATTCTTTTATTTATTTAGATCACAGTTTTTCTCTTGACTTAAAAAAAAAAAAAAAAAAAAAAGACCATTATCTGAAAAGAAACCTTAAACCTATTTCAGGTTAAACACAGATTGCAGTAAAACAGCAGAGTTTAAGATATTACTGCAACAATTAGACCAAATGAAAATAGAGGGTTAAAAAAGCATAACAAAGGAAAAATGAATTAAAAAAAAAACAATGACTTTTTATGGACCTAAACACCAAATGGGGTTAAATTGACTCAAAAGGTAATTGGAGGTTTAAAATTCCCAGCGTGAGCTCACTCTGCTGGAGAGGGGGCTAGATGAGCAGTTGCTCATTTGCATGAGACAAGACCTCCTCTCAAAACGGGCTCATTTCAGCTCTTATGATTGATTTGGAGTGTTTCAATAGAATTGCTCCCCTAAAAATCTTGTTTCCTGACAAAACATTCTGTAGCTTAGGCTGTTTCTCATCCAGATGTACATACCTGGAAATAAAAGCTGAACTGTACAGTATTTGAAAATCAATCTGTTATTGTTAAATTTTCATCAGGCTTATGATTGTCATTCTATTACGGTCTGTGTATTTTTGGTGCACTTACAGAGTGGAGGTATTTACCTGTATGCAAATCAGAGAGGATGTGATGGAGATCGACTTTATTATGATGGCTGTGCCATGGTGGTCATCAACGGGGACGTTGTGGCACATGGAGCACAGTTTTCCTTAACTGAGGTGGTAAGTCTGGAAATTATACTATTTATTTTGGTGGGGTCTGAGCTCAACGCTACACATCATGGTCACGTTCACTATGGATAATGTTGTCTTCAATTAACTAAGCAACAGAAGAAGCTTTGAGTCTTATGGAGTGTAGCACCCACTAATGCAATAATTTCACAAATAATGTCATACAAATTCTGACTGACATTGTAATAACATTTTTTACCTATAGTGGAAGAAAGTATTACATTATTGGGCATTTTTTATTATTATTATTATTATTAGTAGTAGTAGTCGTATTCTAATCAAGTCGTGGGTGGAGCTATGTTTGATTAATTATCTGCAGAGTTGGTTTAACACTAAATAAATCCACTGTGTCAAATAACTCCAACACTCACTGTTACAAATACGCCTTGGGGGTTGAAATCAACTCTGAAACATCTAACACCCAAATTTTAACACTCCAATTTTTTTCTGTGAATGTATATAACAGTCATAGATGTTTTTGCCATACTTCACCCTATTGAGGATGAGAGGGTCAGACAATGGATGGATTAAATTGTCATTGCACATCTACTACCAGGAGCTGGCAGTGGTGCTCTTATTAGGGGTGTTCACACGGCACACATTTGCATCGGTGCTGCACTGATGTATTTTGTTCCGATATATCTTACACCGGTGTAAATTTTGTGGAGCGTTCACACAAAAAAAGCTGCTGACTGAAGAAAAGCGTGTTAACCCCGGTGCAGCCCCACTTGCGTTCACACGGCAGTTTCTGCGGCCGTGCAATACGATAGTAATAATACGGAAATAAAATATGCACATGCATAAAGTGCACTCCCTATTCTCCGCCTTGTTTGTGACATATCGAAAAACTATGGTTTATACTTCTCCAGAAAAATCAGCACTGCAATCTATCAGACACCGTAAAAGGATGAGAGAGAGAAAGGAAAGATGACTGAAATACAGAAGAGCACGAAAGCAACGCATTCAATACCCATATGTAATCAACTCTTCTCACGCATCTCACTCGTAGTGAGTCTACTCTCGCAGTGTTCACACGTCCAATTTTATATTGGTGCTGCGCCGCAAACGAGCATTTACTCCGGAGTAAATTTTTTAACCACCTCCTTGAGCAGGGTTAAATTTGCTCCAGTTTAAGCTGTTTTCAGGGGCTACACCGGTTTAACTTTGTATGTGTGAACGCTCTACGGGTGTAGCCCCGGTGCTGCACCAGAGTAAAAGTTGCCGTGTGAACACCCCTATAGTCAGAGAGTGCACAGGGAATCTGAGCTCAAAGTGGTGTGTGTGTGTGTGTGTGTGTGTGTGTGTGTGTGTGTGTGCGTGTGTGTGTGTGTGTGTGCGCGCGCGCGCACCGAGTGGTAGATAAGAAGTCCAACGAACAAATTCTTTCGAGACACATTACAGCGATGAAAAGAAAGGTGATGACTACCGTATTTTCCGCTCTAAAAGGCGCACTGGATTATGAGGCGCACCTTCAATGAATGGCCTACTGACAATTTTTTTTCCATATATTGCACGCACTGGACTATAAGGCGCAATCTACAATGCATCCACTAGATGGAGCTACAGGTACGTCTTTGTCGGTCTCTGTGCCTTCTCTTCTTCTGTTAGACTCGAGAGGCGTTCATGACCGCCTCCAAAAAACGTAAATTAACGATTACTTCAATGAAACTACAAAAATTGAAAATACAGTAATGCTTTAAAACAGAAAATCACAAAATAAATTCTATAGCCCCCTGACAGAATTTATTTTGGCATTTCCTTGAGCGTAGCTGCAACAGAATGATCATTAAATTGGAGGAGACTGCACTGTCTCAGAAGTGTTTATTTATTCCTTTGTTGTGTACTGTTCACAAACGAGGAAATCACAAAATAAATTCTGTAGTGAGGCTATAGAATTTATTTTGTGATTTCCTCGTTTGATTTTCTGTTTTGATGCATTATTTTCAATTTTCGTAGTTTAATTGAAGGAATCGTTAATTTACGTTTTTCCGAGGCGGTCATGAAAGCCTCTCGAGTCGAACGGAAGAAGAGAAGGCACTGATACGGACAAAGACGTACCTGTATTTGTTGAGACTTTGAAAACCATTAATAAAGTGTGCGTTTTAAAAAAACAACACCACAGCTCTCCTTTTTTCGGAGCTGCAACAAATAAATTATTGTACTTATAGTCACGTCATCATTTGGGTGGGTGTGAAATATTTTCTTCTTCCAATGAGGGGGTGTATTAGAAAATAATTGCGAAGCACCAATTTAGACAAAAATGAAGCCACGGCTACTTGCAGATTGGAAATGATGGGATCGCTCGCTGTCCTGCCATTCATGTCAATTGTAGTACTTTTCATCATTGTGCTTTAGGAGGTGATATCAGCCACTTTGGATCTTGAGGATGTGCACTGCTATAGAGGAGAGTCATGTCAGCTGCAGATGGTGAGCAACTTTGATAACTGTATATTTCCAAGATTAAATTTGGGGTCATAACGTCAAATACATTCACCATAGGCATGAATGTAATGTGTAACATATGTCGGTTAATGGCAGCACGGTGGAAAACCGGTTAGCGCCTCCGCCTCACAGTACAGCGGTCCAGTTATCAAATCCTATCTTCCTATATGTATTCCTATATGTATTTTGCATGCTCTCCCCGTACTTGTGTGTGCTTTCTCTGGGTACTAAGATTTCCTACCACATTTCAAAAGCATGGTTGGTAGGTTCATTGAACACTATAGATTTTCCTTTTGTTAATAAACCTTTTTGCACCGCAATCTTAACCTTGTCTACATTTGTGGGATCCAGCATTATCCGGATAATTCCAGAACGTTATAGAATAATTCGATCATGGATCCCATAGATCTGGATATGATGGTTAAACCGTTGGCCAGCCAAGGATAACTGGTGGGACCACAGGAGACTGCGCTCGCAGAGCTCTGCGACGCAGTCACCTCGCTAGCCACCCGGGTTGAGGAGTTGTTCACCCGCTTCAAGCAGCTCGGCACCCGAAGGACACTCCCCTCGGATACCCACACTGTCAACATTGGGTGTGACCACCTCCGGTAGAACCCAACCTACCCCACCCTCCTCGTTATGGTGGGGAACCCAGATTGTGTGGTCAATTTTTCCACTATTGTAGTCTCAGCTTCGACCAGCAACCAGCCACTTTTTTTCTTGATAGTCTGAAGATAGCATTCATTTTAAGTCTGGCGAGGCTAGTTCTTGGGCTATGGCGGTAAGCAACTCACAATCTGAACTCTGGTCCTCCTTCCCAATTTTCCTTGCTGAATTACGTCGGGTGTTCCACCACCCAGTTGGTGGAAAGGAGGCACGGGGGCGATTACTAGAGTGTACTCAGGGTAGTCAGTAAGTCGCTGACTACTCTGATACGTTCCCGATATTAGCGGCTGGAAGTAGGTTTGACGACTGCGGCTCTGCAGCTTTTTCCGCCGCAGACTAAGTTCCTCCCCAAAGGATGAGTTAGCGGTTCACAACGACACCACTAAATTGGAGGAACGTTTTAGCTTGGCCATCCTTTTGGACAACCACATGAGGGAGAGACGCCAGGAATGTGGTCAGCAGGGCACCCGAGTAACGTTGGAGACCCTCAACTCCTCAACCCGGGCGGCTATCTTTGTCTACGTTTGTGGGATTCACCATTATCTGGATAATTCCGGAACATTACAGGGACATTAGGTAGACAGTGATTCTTCTCATTCCAGCAATGTACAGTGTTTGCACAATATCATTTGACAGTATTTCACACCCTTTAATACAATTCAACATTATTTTGTACACTTCATTATCTGAGCTTTAGCTCACTTGGTTGAATTGTTTGCCCATTTACCCAGGGATTTGGGGTTGGAATCTCACCTCCGACTGTTGTTCATGAGCAAGGACCTCAGTGCATTCAATACACATAATTTCAAATTTTCAACTAGTCCGCTGTGGCTCGGTAGGTAGAGCAGCTGCGCAATATATGGGAAAGCAAGATTTATGGTGTTTGAAACAAAAGCCCCAGCTTCAGCAACCTCATCATTGAAAAACTGCAGAAAACTCATGCACAATTCAGTGGAAGTGGTCTGCAAATAAGGCGCATGGTGAGGAGGTTTAAGCAAAGAATCAGTAGAATCAGCGTACATGTGCTTAACATAACATTACGGGTCAAATATGACACATTTCAAGGCAGACAAACAATACTTTCACTGATGTAATATTGTTGTTCTTTGTACTTTTCTTGACCAGGGTAGTGAATCCAAACAGTGTTATAGGATCAAAGTGGACTTTTCTTTATCCAGTAATGATGATATCTGCCTCCCCATCTACCAACCAATAACATGGAACTTGCATACACCAGAGGAAGAAATTAGGTACACAGTATTTTTTGTACTTGCATGTGGTATGTGCAACTGTTCAGGTAAACACTTCTGTGTTGGTTCCTGTGGTTTTTTTTCCAGCCTTGGGCCAGCCTGCTGGCTGTGGGACTACCTAAGGAGAAGTGGACAGGTGAGTTTGGAAGCTCAAGTTGACACGTCACATTGCGTAAAATGGCATCTTACTTTTTAATGTTGCCTGTCAGCAACTAATTTGAATTACATGTGATGATTTTACTGTACCTCTTAGGCAGGCTTTCTGTTGCCTTTGAGTGGTGGTGTTGATAGCTCCTCTGTTGCCTGTATTGTCTACTCTATGTGTGTGCAAGTCTGCAAGGCCATAGAAAACGGCGGTGAGTAGATTTTCACACATTTTATTTGTGGCCAGTGTTACTTCATAATTCATTGATAAGCAATTTATATATTGGTTTACATTAGCAGATAGTGTAGTTTTACATTGAATTAAGCAATGATCTCTCCATTCTCTTAGATAACCAGGTGCTGCAAGATGTTCGCAGATTAGTTGGGAATGAAACCTACTTTCCTCAGCAACCAAGGGAGCTCTGTCGTCTTATCTTTACTACTTGCTACATGGGCAGTGAAAACTCATCAGCGGACACTTGCAACCGTGCCAAAGAGTTGGCCAGCCAGATTGGGAGGTATACAAAAACAATGGTCTTTTGTGTACTGTAATTCACAGCATTTCCGTGAAGCCTGGCAGAAAACCAGTGTGTGACTTACTGTCCAAAGAGGCAGAACACCTGGTAAATTTACAGAAATACTTTGTCAATGCTGCCTTTCAAGAGTGTAACTAACTAACAAGTACTCCAGCGAGGGTCCTGGCGTCCCGTCCCTGCGCGTTGAGCTGACCATATGCACCAGATTTTTCCAAAGCTGGCGAACTTGTGCCAGGTCCGCTGCGTCCTCCAGGGCAACTCCGTGCTGTTGGAGGTCGCCCTCAATGACGTCAAGCCATTGGGTGAGAGGCTTTCCTCTTGGTCGTCTCCAGCTTGCGGCCTTTGGGTCCAAGTGGAGGATGGCTCGTTTAGGATGGTCTAGGGGCAGATGAACAACATGGCTGAACCAGTGGGTGCGGCGTTGTGCGACCAAGGAAGATGCTCGAGGCTGGCGCGTGTGAGCTGTAAGCACGGGTCTTTTCTATTAGCAGACGGATGACATAGATGCGGTCGATTGTGGAGCGATTGGGCATAAAGCCAGCCTGCTGGGGACGGTGGCGGCTTCTGATCGCTGGAAGGGCACGACGAAGCAAGATCCTGGTTAAGCCCTTGCCAGGGATGGAGAGCAGGGTTATCCCTCTGTGCTTTTCACAGACAAGCCTGTCACCCTTGCATTTCCAGAAGGACAGGATAACCGAAGTCTGTGGGGTTGTTAGGTTCACTGAGTCGGGAGGAGTTGAGGCGAGGCAGAATCTTGTGCTGGTTGGCTTAGAGCTTCAGCTTAAGATGAGCCATGCCATGAAGGCTGGTCCGACTCTCTGGGCCACTCCAAATGTAACAATAGTTGCCTGCTGTTATTTTGCCATTGCCTTGCCATCACACTTCACAGAGCCCTGCCAGGGTGACGTTATCACAGCAGAGCTGTCGGGACAGCTGGGTGGCAGCTCCAGGTTGAAGGAGTGTCTGGACATTCCATGGGGCGGACATGGATCCTACGATGAATGTCAATCTGTACTCGTTGGTCGAGGGGCAGGCTGAGGACTGTTACTGTGTTGGTCTTCTTTCTCTGGTCAGTTTCGAAACAAGAATTTTCTCCTGGGTCGGTTGTTGGCCTTTCGCAGTATAGCCAGTTGCTGGGACTGCCACCTCACAGCGTACCGGCACGCTGGGGTCTTTGTCTGTGTGGAACCTACCCTGGAGACCGGCCCGCCTTGGGAGCCCCTACTGGGAGCAATTTCCCGACAATATCGTTGGGAGATTGCCCACTTTTATTCCTCTGACACCTGCAATGCTCTGCTCCTATTTTTCAGTGGAAAAAGTCAATAAAATCCAACAGCACCTGGGCTCCTCTGTACCCCTCCTCTGACCTCCCCACCCCTTGTCAATTGTTATCCTCTTTTGAACTGCCCCATCCCTCAATAATCTCGGACTTCATTATCAAATCCAAGACTTCTTCATGCCAGGTAGATCCCCTCCCCACAGTCTTGGTCGAATCCTGCTTACCTTCATTCTTCATTGTCGACTGCAATTGTTCCTGTGCCCTTCAAAACTGCAGCTGTCACTCCAATCCTGACAAAAACCTGATTCAGATCCCAATGATTTCAATATCCTATGCCCAATTTCTCACCTTTCTTTCATCTCCAAAATTCTTGAAAAAATTGATGCCTCTGAACTTAACTCCCACCTCACTGATAACAGTCTCTACGAACAATTCTAGTCTGGTTTCCTTCCCCGTCACAGTACAAAAATCACTAATGGCCTTCTCATGGCAGCAGACTCCGTTTTAATCTCCATCCTCATCATCCTCGACGTGAGTGCAGCTTTTGACACCATTTCTCACCCCATTCTCCTAAATAAACTCTCCACCATAGGCATCACCCACACCCGCCTACGCTGGTTTCACTCTTATCTCACTGGCCGCTCTCAGTTCACCCAACTCAACTCCGTCACTTCACAATCGTTCCCCCTCTTTTCTGGTGTGCCCCAGGGCTCTGTCCTGGGACCCCTCCTCTTCATTATCTAACTTCTCCCCCTTGGGAATATTTTCCGTAATTTTGGTATACACTTCTGCTTCTGCTTCGCGATGACACCCAGCTCTGCCTCTCCAGCAAACCCGATGCCTCCCTCCCACCCTCCACCATCTCCCACTGCCTCTCAGAAATAAAATCTTGGTTTACCCATAACATCCTCAAACTGAACAGCGATAAAACAGAACTCCTCCTCATCTGTACCAAATCCGCCCTATACAAAGCCAACAGTTTCTCCCTCACAATTAATAGCTCCACTGTGTCCCCTTCCCTTGTCATCCTCGATAACTCACTATCTTTCCACTCCCACATCAATAACACAACCCGGTCTGCATATTTCCACCGACGTAATATCAATCGTCTCTGTCCCTCTCTCCCCCCTCACACCACTGCTATACTTGTCCACAGTCTCATCACCTCCTGTATTGATTATTAGAATTCATTTCTTTTCGGTGTCCATCACAAATTCCTCCATAAACTTCAACTGGTCCAGAATTCTTCAGCCCAGATCATCACTAGAACCCTCTCCTTTCATCACATCACCCCCATCCTTCGACAGCTCCACTGGATCCCTGTCAAACTTAGAATCAACTTCAAAATATTCTCTATACATTTAAAGCCATCCATAACCTTGCACCCCCCTCCCCCCCCCGCCCACTATCAGTCTGACCTTTCCGTTCCCTCTCGTTCCCTCAGGTCCTCATCCTCACTCCACTTCTGTGTACCCTCTGCCTGTCTCAGCAAGATGGGGTGCAGAGCTTTCAGCCGCTCTGCCCCCACACTCAGGAACTCACTTCCACCCAACATCTGTAATATTGATTCTCTTCCCACATTCAAATCCCATCTCAAGAACCACCTTTTCAAAATAGCATACTCAATTTTAATTCATCTCTTCTTTTATTATGTATAATTTTATCTGTGGTTTTATTGTTTTTGTTCTTATAATTACTGCTCCGCAGGGTCATCGGAACACTTAAGCCCCCTCGCCACATCAAGGCCAGACCCATTCGAGGAGGCCAGACCCATTCGAGGAGGTTCAAGAGTGTAAACAAAGTTTATTTAAGACCATTTTAAATTTGCCTTAATTTGTCATCTTATAAAGATAAGATGAGCAAAATCTGAATTGGCTGGCCAAAGTCTGCTGAGATAGGCTCCAAATCACCCACAAATATATAAATATATCCTCGTCTCACCCCTTGGGTGGTGTCCGTCCCCCATTCAGCTCGGGTCCTCTACCAGAGGTCAGGAAGCTTGAGGGTTCTGCGCAGTATCCTTGCTGTTCCCAGCACTGCACATTTCTGGACTGAGATGTCCGATGTTGTTCCCAGGATCTCTTGCAACCACTCATCTAGTTTGGGGGTCACTGCCCCGAGTGCTCCGACCACCACAGGCACGACTGTCACCTTTACCTTCCAGGCTCTCTCCAGCTCCTCTCTGAGCCCTTGGTATTTCTCGAGTTTCTCGTGTTCCTTCTTTCTGATGTTTCCATCACTTGGGACCGCTACATCCACTACAACGGCTTTCCTCTGCCCTTTATCTATGATCACGAAATCCGGTTGTTTCGTCATTACCATCTTGTCAGTCTGGATCTGGAAGTCCCACAGGATCTTCGCTCTGTCATTCTCCACCACCTTCGGAGGTGTTTCCCATTTTGACCTTGGGGTCCATACTCCGCACAGATGTTTCGGTAGACTATGCCAGCCACCTGGTTATGGCATTTCATGTAGGCTTTCCCTGCCAGCATCTTACACCCTGCAGTTATGTGTTGGGTCGTCTCATGTGCCTCTTTGCACAACCTACACCTTGGGTCTTGTATGGTGTGGTATATCTGGGCCTCAATGGCTCTGGTGCTCAGGGCCTGCTCCTGAGCAGCCAGGATGAGTGCCTCTGTGCTGTCCTTCAGTCCAGCCCTC